TCAGTCCCAGTTTAAAGCGAACCCAGAGAAGTCTTGAGTTCACAACCTTGTATTATAATATTGTACCTTACTTGAAGAGCATTAACTGGCAAGTGGAGCTAGAAAAATGTCAAAATGTTAACGAAATGACTAATATATTTTACCACTTTTTAAATATAGCCGTAACATCCTATATTCCTAAAACAAGACCTAAACTAACTAAATTTCCTTCGTGGTTTAGCAATTCCCTAATTAAAATAATTTCCGAGAAAAGCAGAAAAAGATTAAAATATTTGAAATATAAGAACCCTCGTGATCAACTAGAATACGAGCTTCTTCGCGAACGTGCTCATAATGTAAGTAGTCAATGCCTTTTTAATTTTAAAAAAAGAATTGAAAGCGATATTTCTAAAAATCCAAAAAGCTTTTGGCGTTTTGTGAAGGACAGGCGCAATGGTGTATCCAATATCCCAGCTATAATGTATCAAGCTGATCAGGTCGCAAACACCGGACCAGATATTGCCCAAATGTTTGCAAACAAATTTTCATCTGTTTTTAGTAAAGTGGCTGCAAACGACGGCGGTGACGTATCTATGTTCAATAATTCATGTTTAAATTCTGTAAAATTAACTGAAAGAGACATTATAGGTGCAGTCAAAAAGCTTGACATTTTCAAGGGAGCTGGCCCAGATGAGATTCCCCCTGTGTTCGTCAAACGTTGTATCTCGGCCTTAGCGTTACCACTGGCTATTATTTTCAATAAATCTTTGCGTGATGGAGTATTTCCTGATATTTGGAAAAATTCAAAGATCGTTCCGGTATTTAAAAAAGGCGTCATTAATGACGTTAGTAACTACAGACCGATTTCAATTATTTCATGTATTCCTAAATTGTTTGAATCCTTGATATGTCCAATTATTACGCGTCACTTAAGCACATGTATATCAGACCATCAACATGGGTTTAGGAAGGGTCATTCGATTGAAACTAACCTTGTATCATTTATGTCGTATCTCTGTAAAGAAATTGACAAAGGACAGGAAGTTGATGCTATATATATGGATTTTTCTAGTGCATTCGATAAAGTCTGTCACTCGCGCTTAATTAACAAGCTAAAAGGATATGGGGTATGTGGATCTTTGCTAGAATGGTTCCAGTCTTATTTAGCAAAAAGACTTCAGTTTGTGGTAGTGAATGGTTACAAATCAGAAAGTTATATAGCGTTCTCAGGCGTTCCGCAAGGATCGCATCTGGGTCCAGTCCTTTTTGCTGCCTTTATCAATGATATAACTTTTGAAATACGCAACTCTGAATTCTGTCTCTTTGCTGACGATTTAAAAATATACAAAACAGTAAAATCTATTGTAGACGTGCAACTCATCCAAAGTGATTTAAACAGAATTAGTACATGGTGTCAATTAAATGGTATGATACTTAATACTAAAAAATCATATCACATTAAATTCTCAAGAAAGTCTATACCTTTCATATCCTCCTATAAGATGAACTCTGATACCTTGGAGCAGGTTAAAGAAGTTCGAGATTTAGGCGTAATAGTGGATAGCAAATTAAATTTTAAGTCTCACATTGACGCTACCGTCCAAAAAGCTGGAAGAATGCTTGGCTTCCTAAAACGAAACGCTAAAGGTTTTATGTCAGCCAAAACCAAAATAATTTTATATAACGCCTTGGTTCGAAGTCACCTAGAGTTTGCATCGGTGGTTTGGAGTCCTCAGTTTATCACTTATTCCCAACGCATTGAAAGCATACAGCGTTCATTTACTAGACATCTTGCGTTCCATTCTTCGGACATTTCCCACCGTAACACCTATAACGTTCGTCTCAAACATTTCGCAATGATGTCACTTTGTGACCGTCGTGTATTGTTAAATATATTGTTTTTAAAAAAAATAATTTCTGGTGCCGTAGATTGTAATAACCTACTTCAGTGCATTAATCTTAACATCCCATGCAACTATCCACGCCATCCTATTACTAAAATCTTTTACATCCCTGCCAGTAGAACGAACCTCTTAAAAAATTCGCCTATATCAAAAATTTGCGCCGAATACAACCGGGTATGTGTATTTGTTGACATTGACATTTTTCATGACTCATGCATTAGTTTGAGAAAGAAGTTATCTGTGTACCTGCTCTCTAAGTAGGTTCTTAAAATTTCTTAAAATTTTGTAAAATTATTTTGATATTCTGTGTACTATTTTTGTGCTTTTTTTTTGTTTTCTAATATTCGTATTTACAATAACATGTCTTAGATTTTAAGAGAATGTTGTACACGTCTTTATTGGCGTACATACCAGGCCTTTGTTTTATGTAAGATTTGCATATAAATGTATTGTGTGTTATGCTGTTGATGTGTCATAATAAATAAATAAATAAATAAATAAATATTCAGTCATAAGATCGACCAACCGGGACGACAACAGCACCCCCACTCCCTGGCAGGCGTTCTCGCTTTCCGGGACTCCGGACCATATAGCTAACGTCCCGCCAGGGAGCTCTTCAGTACCACTGCCTTTCCGTTTGGTCTCCGACATATACACGACATCTTATTCTCTTTCTTTCATTATTTCGATCAACTCATTCGTCTTATCTCTCATGCCCCCTCTAACATTCCACGTGCCAACTCTGCACTCCGTCCTCCACCTTCCGCCGTGTCGGGCTGTGCGTGACGGGTGGCGGTCCCCATCGCCGCTTTGCGCGTTGCATTCCACACCAACGGGGACGAGCTGGTGTGCGTCGCCTTGAGGGGACGCCCTTACTCTCGTTTGCATGGGTGCGCAGCTGTGTAGAATTGCAGCCCTGAAAAGGGCTGGCAGGGGTCGCGACGAGCACGCTTCTACAATGACCTAATGATTGTGTGATTGATTTTAAGCGTTTCTCGAATTATTCACGCCTTGTACGTTCCGTGGCTTACGTTCTACGATTCATTGTCTTATTTCTTCGTACTACTTATCGAAATTAGAATTACGAAACGCGTTAGATGTTATAATTTCATAATGCCAAATTGATTCCTTTTCAGAGTATAAATTGTATAAAACAAAATTTACCGAAGAAAAGCCTGCTTCTTAAATTTAATGTATTTTGGACGAAAATAAAATAATGCGTGTTGGTGGTCGCCTTAATAATTGTAAATTTTCATATAATAAAAAGCATTCTTTATTATTACAGTCCAATCGTATATTTACGAAATTATTATTTGACCATGAATATAATAGGCCAATAGGTATACACGCCGGTCTATAGGTGGTCGAAACCACGTGAAGGCCTGTTATCATAAATGTATACTATGTCACCACATGAAGAGTAAGGTTTTAAACCCTCTCATAGGCAACTCGCCAGAACAGGCTTTCCTTTTGAAAGTGTAGGAGTCGATTATGTAGGCCCTGTTATGAGTGCCACTCGTTAAAAGTCGTGGCTATCGACTGGTAAAGGTGTAGTACATATTTTCGTTTGTTTCACCACCAAGGCGATTGATTAAGTGTTTGTAGGTGACTTAACGAGCAATAACTATTTGCTGACATTGCGCAGGTTTATAGCTCGAAAAGGTAAGTTAGTCATTATTTATTAGGTGCCTACAACGACTTATCCAAATTTTTAAAAGGCAATTGCGATTTGTGGAGCGAACGTATGGCCAATGATAATTTTAATTTTAATTTTATTCCGGCTTACACTCCAAACTTTGGCGGTCACTGAGAGGTGCGGGTCAAATCAGCAAAATATCATTTGATTAACATGTTGGGCAATTGTAACTTAACATTTGAAGAACTTTACACCACATTTACCCAGTTCGAAACAATGCTTAACTCCCGGCTACTCACTCCACTATCTTCAGATCCTGCAGGTTGTAGGCCACTCACTTCGGGACATATTTTAATTGAGTGTGCGTTGATTTTGTCACAACCGCACTGCCAGCATTACTCCACTCTTATCTTAACCAAATTCCAATGCATTAAGCAACTGCATCAGCATTCTTGAGAATGTTGGAGCAAGGAGTACGTCTCAGAGCTCCAACAGAGAGTATAATTCCATTCCTGCAAAGACAGCTCGAAGATGAACGATTTGGTGGAAGTCAAGGAGAACAACCTTCTAGTGGAATGGAAGGAGAAGATGTTTGAGTATGGTTGTTCGAGTTGCAGAGATCAGAACTTCCACTGGGATTGTCAAGAGAGCATTTAATCGCATTTGTCTATTGCCGGTCTCTTAATTCTTGTTGAAATCGAAGATTTTAACGCCCGGGGGGATGCCCCTGCGCCTTTTTTTAAGTATCTTTTGTTAATTTTGAACAGGTTCTTTCTCTTTACAACATTTTATTACCCTCTCAACTGTTGTGAGATTAATACAATCGTTCAAGACTACATTCAGGTTGCATTATTTTAAAATTCCCAAACATACTGTGAGAAGGCTTTCACCATTCTCCTTTATACTTTAACCAACAAAAGTTCCGAATATCCTTACATTATAAAACTTCTTCACCCCCAATTCTTCCATTAAATTTTCCTAACATAACAATATTTTCATTCTCCTTGCATTTCATTAAATCATCCTTACCATCTATATATCTCACTGCCCTATAGGGAATCATGAATATAGGTGGGTTTCGACATGTTTGGGGCGTACACCCCTACAACTATTCTTTCACGCATTCACTTATTCCTTCTGAAGAATGAAACCGATTCCCTGGCATGCCCGCTTGGTCTCGCCTGTACCGGACTAACGAGTGGTATACATACGTATGCAGTTCATCCTTTCCTTTAGTTTCGTTTCATTTACACACAACACATCTATTCTTCTATCATACATGATGTTGCATACTTCATTAGTCTTGTCATTCTTTACTCCAAATATATTCAGCGTAGCCGCTTGCTTGCATCCGCCGCTTGTTTCCGTAATCTATTTTCCGCTCTCTCGGGAGACATAACCTTTTTATATGTATACTATTTCACTTTTTATTTTAATAAGCTGTGCAACATTGAGTTCTACATATTTTTCATTTTGTGCAGGATGAGGAAGAAAGTGGGAACTTAGATGATATAGGTTTACTGAACAGTTCTTCACGACTTTATACAGAGTTCGAAGTTCTTTCGTGGATTGGTAAAGGCGCATTTGGTGATGTGATTAAAGTAAGTATTATCGTGTTTTAAATCACCATAAAGGTGCTGTCTTTAGGGAATTCACAACTTTAATTTTTTCCACGGTATCGTAAAGGTCGATTGATGAAATTTTAAAGAGTTCAACAACAACAAGTGAACTTGTGTCAAACGTTACTGTTAATTAGTGTTCTAAAAATATTTATTAAATGGATCATTAATACTTATAACGTTACTTTTATAGATATAAAGGAACATATTTAAAAATGTTTCGCGCAACTTATATAAATTTAGAAGAACCATGTTATAAAACCTATAATTGTATATTTTTTAGGTCAAAAATAAATTAGACGGCGGCATTTACGCGATAAAAGTGATCAAACTGAACCCGAGGAACGTGGATTTGAACCGCAAGGTGACCCGCGAGGTGAAGCTGCTGTCGCGGCTGAACCACGAGCACGTGGTACGCTACTACAACGCGTGGATCGAAAGCGTGAGCTTGGCGACGCGCGCGCGCCGCGGCGTGCGCCTCGAGTGGTCCATATCCGGCGCGCGTGCGCACCGACACGACCACGGTGATGACGAAGATGACGATGACGACGACGACGACGACGACGACGACGACGATCCCGATCCTTGGACCCTGAGGTTGCTACTGTGTTTTTGAATTTTTAATGAAGTTATGTCATGTGTTTTTTATTTTCTTAACTTAATCATGTTTTTCTAGCCCAGAAGACGATTCAAGCAGCGGTGTGGTGTTTCAAGATGACAATGACGAATGTAAAAGTACTTTTAATGACTCTGACAATAACTCAAAGGATATTGAAACGACACAAAAGTCACAAGACGTCACAGAATCAAACAATACAGAGGAAACAGTGACCACACAACAAGTTCTTTACATTCAAATGGAATTTTGTGAAAAACATACTATGAGACAAGCCATCGACCAAGGACTTCATCAGGATCCAGTGAGAGCATGGAGGCTGTTTCGAGAGATATTGGAAGGGTTGGTGCATATACACAGCAAGGGAATGATTCATAGGGATTTAAAACCTGTCAATATATTTTTGGACTCCGATGATCATGTAAAAATTGGTGATTTTGGATTGGCCACTAAAATACTCACAAGAGTATCCGCTGAAGGTGAGTTTTATCATAGGTAGCGTAATTTGTTCCATTTCTTTAATTTGGTAATAAAGGAATGAATTTTCACAGATAAAAGCAAATCACAAGATGACGGTGACAGTGGACTTACTGGAGAGGTATTTTAATGATAAGAATCCTTTATATTACCCACATGTGTGTGAGATTTTCACACAGTAACGGCGTTAGTAGTATTTTAAGACGTAATGTGTAATTTTTTTTCATAATCAAGTTTAACCAGCCAATCTGTATGAATATTGTTACGAGCTTAAGGTTTGTGACAATAAAAACTACCGATTGAATTAACAAAATTGACACTTTAATTACCGACAGCAGTTAAAACTTAAAACACACTAATAATTAATCACACTTAATACTTTAGTTCACTTTATTTCCTGTCGCCAATTCAATACTGCCTCGGTCGCGGTTCTTAACGCCTTTATATAAGACCTTTTCTACTGAAATACCCCGAATGTTCGTGCACATACCGGTTCCAACCAAGTGTGGAAAGTTCTCTTCTAGTTCTGTCACTCGATACTAGATGGCGCTGGTGGTGGAAAGTTCCAGCATGGCAATTTTCAAAAAAAGCGCTCCTCGCTCTGTTACCCGACACTAGATGGTGCTAGGGGCATTAATTATGGCTTGGAACACTGTCCCCTCCTAAGACGTGCTCTTCCAGAGCATTATCTGTCCCATAATAACGTGCCAGACGATCCACATGGACGATCTTAGGTGTACCTGTTGCACCTTTAAATTGCCGCAGACCCTTTCCCGTCGAGAACGTAGTTTCTCCTTGTCCTTAGGGTCAATTTCAACTTGCCAGCATGTCCAGCGTGTCATCAATTCTTGGCAAGGGATAGCTGTCTTTCTTTGTAATGTCGTTCAAACGGCGGTAGTCAACACAAAACCGCATGCTGCCATCCTTCTTCTTTACCAGCAGCACAGGTGAACACCATGTACTAGATAAGGATTCAATAACATCATCCTTGAAATAATACTAGTTTTTACGGAATTTATCGCGTATATTTAACTTTTTAAATACCCGACGTTTCGAACGCTTTACAGCACTCATGGTCACGAGCGGGACTGAGATGTTCAACGTCCATATGTCATAGTTAACCGCGGTTACCATAGATTAAAATTTAACTTTTGTTCCGATCTATGCAGTATGAACTTATGGTATCTTGAAGTCTGGCAGTTGTGTGCTTGGGTTGGGATTTAATTTTATTTATTATAGGATCCCAAGCAGATGGTAGCACCCAGCCATCTTCTCTATTGAAATTAGGATGTTTTTTTGATTTTTTTGGGTTGAACATCTCAGTCCCGCCCGTGACCATGAGTGCTGTAAAGCGTTCGAAACGTCGGGTATTTAAAAAGTTAAATATACGCCATAAATTCCGTAAAAACTAGTATTATTTCAATGTGTAGTGTTCGCGTAAATATAAGAAATCATAACATCATCCTTCACCATTCCCTCCATCATGGTTTCCACTTCCTTTTCTCGTGCTACCGGCAAGCTTCTTGGCCGCTGACGGATAGGAAATTCTTCTTCTGTGTTTACTTTGTGTTGAACTAAGCCAGTCTTCCTCACGAGTACCAACCAGTGTGCATTTTTCTATAATCTGTTCCTGGACACAAAGGTTCAGCATACGTACTGCTGAGATGTTAGTGGTTCTGACCAAGGTTCGAGCCATTTTCCATGGAAGGTCATTGTCTACCCTTTCCACAAATACACAACGATGAGCTTACCCAGGATTACGAAGAAGACTAACCGGCACAATCATTTCCGATCTCGACGGAAGAGCAATCTTCTTAAGACTGTACACGTTCCCTGGTAACGCCCAGTCCACGAAGAGTTCCTCTTGTCCACATTTTAAAACACCTTGCTTAACGTCAATCTCACAATAATTCTTCCTCATGAAGTCTAGGCGTGCTAATCTAGGGGGTGCTAAGAATCTCCGGTGCAGGTTCGGTTGCCATCTAATAAGACTCGACCTGGCAACATATAACGCACGCACCCTGAGGACTGACGAAAAGATACTGGAGCTGGAAGAAGAGGTATACAAGTTGCGCTGGCATACAATAGTATTATCTGAGGTCCGAAGAGAGGGGGAGGACACGGTAATCCTCGAATCCGGCAACCTGTTTTATTACCAGGAGGGCGACCATCTGTCTTAAGAAGATGTCGGATTTGTCTTCCACAAGTCTCGTCATGAGATGGGAGACTTCGCAAAACTAGGCACAAGTGAAAGCGGTGAGCTGAAGTTAGGGAAATTTTGAATTTTTTTTATAGAAGAGGGGGCAAACGAGCATGCGGCTCCCCTGATGTTAAGTGACTACCACCACCCATGATCAACCGCAACACCAGGGGAATTGCAGGTGCGTTGCCGGCCCTTTAGAAAGGAGTTAGCTCTTTTCTTGAAGGTCCCCAGGTCGTATCGGTCCGGAAAAATCGCCGGTGGTAAACTATTCTACAGAGAGGTCGTACGCGGAAGAAAACTCCTTGTGAAACGTACAGTGGTGGACCGCCAAGCATCCAGATGGTGTAGATGGTGTCGGGACGTTTGCCGCGTAGTGCGTTCACGAAATTTGGCGGCTGGGATTAATCCGAACAATTCCTCAGAGCACTCCCCATGGTATATGCGAAAGAAAATGCAAAGAGATGCAACATCTCTTCGCAGCGAGCAGCAGCATCGAGCCGATCGGAAAGCACTCGGTCGTCGACGATTCGAGCCGCTCTGCGCTGTATGCAGTCAAGTGGAAGGAGCTGGTACTGGGGAGCCCCAGCCCAGAGATGGGAACAGTATTCCATGTGCGGCCGAACCTGCGCCTTGTAATGTTGCAGGCGGTGTGCCGGTATGAAATACTGTCCCGCTCTGATGAGCACGCCAAGCTTTTTAGAGGCCAATTTGGCCTTCTCTTCCAAGTGACCACGAAACTGCACGTCACTCAATATGTCGACGTCGAGGATACCGATACTGGCTGAGGCAACAAGGGGAGTGCCTTAAAACTGGGGAGATACGACAAAGGGGTTCTTTTTAGCGGTTAATGCGCAAACTTGTGTCTTCTGGGGGTTAAACTGGACTAGATTGAGTCGCCCCCAATCCGAGACTCTGCTCAGCAAAGACTCAACTTCAGTCACAAGTTTGTCCCGAATTTGAATAGGGGAACGTAACCAACGGTACCAGCAGCTGGCCGACTTCATGCAGAAAGAGGGACTTTTTATGATGAACTCTTTCTTCCAGAAGCAGCCCTACAGGAAGTGGACCTGATCGAGCCCCGACGGTTCGACAAAAAATGAGATTGACTTCATTATGACGACCAGACTCCAACTGTTCAGTGATGTCTCAGTGATTACGAGGGTGAAAACTGGCAGCGGTCACCGAATGGTGCGAGGCAATGAACCTAAACGTTAAATAGGAGAGGTCTCGTCTAATGAAGTCAACGCTCCCCTCGTGCTCTAATCCAAAGTCCCGAAACCTTTCAGTTTGAGTTACAAAACCGTTTTCAGTGCTTAGAGATTGCATTGCAGTGGACAATACGAATGACAGGCACCTGGAAACTGTCCATGCGGTCGGAGCTAAGTTGTGCAAGACCCACCGCAGAAGAGCACAAAAACTCTCCGATCACACTCTAAATCTCGTGGCTGTTAGACGGGAAATGAAGCTGCAGTCTTCAGCAGATTTGGCAGCACACAGGAAACTGAACAGACAGATCTCCACATACATGCAGCGGAACTTACGCAAATTCAGTACAGCTCGTATTGAAGAAGCGATCGAGCGGAACTATGGCACCAAAGTCTTTGCCAGGGATCTGTCTGTCAGAAAGAGCCAACTGTGGAAGCTAAAGACCGGGTGTGGCAGCATCGTTTCCGGAACACCTGAGATTTTGAGTGAGATTGAGAGGTACTGTGGGCAGCTGTACACGTATTCGTCGGAGCCACACGCAACTGTGAGTAGCGATCCAAGAGTAAGTCTGATCCAACTCTATTCCGATGATATCCCGGACGTCAGTCTGAGCGAGATTAGAATAGCTCTCCAGCACCTTAAAAACGGCAAGTCCCCGGGCGAGGATAGAATTACAGCAGAGCTTTTGAAAGCGGGTGGAAAACCGGTACTTAAAGTCCTTCAGAAGCTTTTTAATTTCTTTCTCCATGGTGGCACTACTCCCGAGGCGTGGAGCAGAAGTGCGGTGGTCTTGTCGGGGGTCTTCAAGAAAGGTGACAATGCTCACTTGAAGAACTACAGACCGATATCCCTTGTTCGCCATCAAGATGACATATATCCGTGTAATTTGAGATACAAGTCATTAGTGCTTTTCTTGTGAATTAAAATGAAAACATCGTATTTGTTCAATTACTATTTAGAACTATTAATATTCTAAAAATTTAAGTTATGATTTTGACGACATACGTTTGTATGGAGTCGATTGAACCCGAAAGTTTTTGATTTCGATTTCATTGTCATTATAAAAATTTTTGAAAATTGAGACATTATTTTCAACCTTTTGAGTTTTTGATTTTTTACTACTCTGTGTTAAAAATAACTGAGGAACACAGGAATCTTTTATTTGAAGTGGAGCATATTAATTGAGACGATGGTGCATTAAAATTAGAATCGTGTGCAACTGAGAATTGACCACAGGTGCGACCTTGAAAACTCCATTGAAGATTCATTTGACGTATTATTAAAAACATGGTCATCAATATTTTTTGTCATCCGTGTTTTATAACATAATTTAGGAACACGGGATTTAGAAAGTTTAATTGTTTTCGTGTCATTTAAATTAATACATGTTCCGGCGGAGACGGCATCGAAAGCGTGTTTAGTTTATATCGTCATTATTATTTACAGTAACGCAAACAACGTGTCTATTAGAACGATTAATACCCGGCACATTACTTGTGTATACTGTTCAACTCGTAACGTCACTGTCCTAGAATTTTGTCGATTTTGCAAAGGAATAAGATACTTTTTAATGTTTAATAATGAGTTATCATCTAAATCATTGTTGTGTTGCGCTTGAATGCTAAAATACGAACATGAAAACGCCGGGAAAGTTGTGGATTCAAGTGCCAGCTGATTTAAATATAAGAAATACTTGGTTAAAACTGGCAAGAAGATACCCAAATACATTGTCTACAAAAACTAGACTATTCTTCTGTGAAGATCATTTTGATGTAAGTATAACTTATATTTAACTATCGTTTATACAAAACAAAACATCATGAGGTGATGGGTATCGCAAATCAAATTTGTAATAAATTACGTTAATTTAGATATTATAACTAATGATTGCTATTGATTGTAATTTTAGATAAACTAAACTAAGCTAGCTACTAAACTGTTTTTCAAAATACGCTTAGACCTGGTATTGTGTTTTTGTATAAACAAAATTGGTAATAGGTACTTACATTGAATTTTTAACATTTCTCAACTCAGCAGAGCGAAAATTGGGATTGCATGCAAACAATTTTGCTTCCATCAATTAATTTATCCTTGGTAGATTAGTACTTTCTGCTTTTCGTATTTGTCTTCCATGATGCCTTTTCAATTGAATTCGGAATAAAACTCAATAAATAACTTGAAAGATTTCGAAATAACACAGCACATTAGCTAGTTCTCTTAATCAGTGACACAGAACACTAATATCCGTAGGCTGGATCAGTGACGTCACAACAGTGTCTAATATGGCGGGTAGCGTTTTGCAGATTTGAGGCACAGACAAAAATAAAATAAAATTGAAATATAAAATTTATAATGCAATTTTATAAATAGAAATCAACATTTCTCGTTTACGTTTTACACTATCATAAATACTGATTTTTTTACATGACGTAAAATACCTTATTAATAACTTTTGAAAACTTTATTTTAATAAAATGGAAAATTACTCACAAAATGAAGATTCTAACGAACATCTCGGTTTTCTAAAACGTGTCAGATAAATCGACACTGCAGCGCGCGGCGTGTGCAGCGATGACGTCAATGGTAGCGGTGGCTTTGAGTGTCCGACGACTCAGGAAGTTTTAAATTACGGCCGTACTTGGAAGTCACGTTGCGTTGTCCGTGAGGAGACGTTACACGTAGTGATGATGATGCCGATGCAAGGTCTGATGTTGGTGGCGAGTCAAACTGTCCTGTGATCCGATGATGCAGGAGTGATGCGGGCTTACACTCGAAAGTGGACGCTTAACGTCGACTACAATAGAGCAGCAGAAGATTCTTGAATGATACGGTGCGAGCTCGCGCTTCGTAGTGGAGCCTTATCGTCGACCTCTGATGGACCGTGGTGATGGACGGTGAGGTTTACAGAGCCAAATAAGTATTAGGCGGGAATTTTGTATCGCGACGCGCCTAACACCTAATCCCAGTACTTCAATTGTTTTTCCCAGGATATCCCACTTCTGACACCAAAATTATTAGGATGGCTGGCCTTGGATGTTTTTTCAATTCATTTGAATTTAATTCAATTTTTTGCTATTCTTGTTGTATACATTTGACCTTAATTATAAAAAAAAAACAGTACTTTACATAATGTTTACAATGGCAATTACTCACGTATACATCGGTTTATAACAGTACGCTTTAGTTGTTGTCCGTAAATCACCTTCTATTTGGGATAATTTTTAATAAAAGTCGGGATACACATAGTGTTAGCCAAAGCCTTCATTGTGTTCACCATGAAACATTAATCAGGAAACTTCAACACTACGGTGTGAGAAGCGATGCTCTTAAATTAATTAATAAAAAAATTAATTTAAGAGCATCGCTTCTTAAGTGACAGAACGCAAAAAGTTGTCATTATTAGTATGAGTTCTTCTGGGTCGATTGTATAAATGGGCGTGCCTCAGGGCTCAATTCTCGGCCCCTTTCTGTTTCTTGTATATATTAATGACTTACCTTACATAGTAGGGGATAACCATGATTGATATAGTATTATTTGCTGATTATACTTCATTAATTTTCAAATTAAAACGACAGTTATTAAATTACGACGAAGTAAATAATGCTATAGCTAAGTTAGTTTATTGGTTTAATGTTAATAATTTGCATTTGAATGGAACTAAAACTAAATGTATGAAATTCGTAACTCCTAATGTTAAACATGTCAATTCTAATGTAATTTTAAATGGGGAGGAACTGAGTCTCGTTGATACCACCATTTTTCTTGGAATCACACTGGACGCAAAGCTTCAATTGCTCCCCCATATATCAAAACTAGCTAGCAGACTTAGTTCTGCAGCATATGCTGTAAAAAAGATTAGAACTCTTACCAATGTTGAAACAGCTAGAATAGTTTACTTTAGTTATTTCTATAGCATTATGTCGTATGGTATTTTGCTATGGGGACACGCGACTGACACTGAAATTATATTTATTTTACAGAAGAGGGCCATTATAGCAATATATAATTTACAACCAAAAGAGTCACTGAGGCAAAAATTTAAGGAAATTAATATTTTAACTCTGGCCTCTCAATACATTTATGAAAATGTAATGTACGTACACAAAAATAAAAGTAGTTTTGCGAAAATAAATGATATTCATTCTGTAAATACTAGGAGCAGACACACGCTAGTAGTACCAGTTACTCGACTCCACCGAGTCAGTAATTCATTCTTGGGGCGATGTATACGCTTTTACATCAAAATCCCAGAAAATATACAAAATTTATCATACACAAAATTCAAAAATGTTATTAAACAAAGTTTGTATAAAAAGGGTTATTATAATATTAAGGAATTTATGGATGATAATAACCCCTGGGGAGGGTGATCGCTACCAAGCTATTTCTAATTTGTCTTGTGTTGCTAATTGTAAACATGATTGTAAGCTATTATTGGAAAAAAAATAGTCCCGCTGGGTTTCTTGCTGGTTCTTCCCAGGACAGAGGTTTTTTTTGCGAACCAGTGGTAAATGAAAAAAGTGACTTTCAATAAGTATTTGTTATAATCTACATTGAATAAAAAAGTTTCTGTTTCTGTTTCTGTTACGGCCCTCAGTTACCCCGACAAAAGTCGACAGGATTAGGGCCCATCAGTAATCCAACTCGACGAGCAACCGAGGGAGGGCCCAGTGGCCTATGGATAATTAATTTATAACGGCTGTATAAGCAACCACAAATTTACCGAATTACAGGTGTAGGGTCGACCACAAGGCGCCGTCAGGGGCAAGTAAATGATATGTGTGAGTGGTGTAGGAAAGTGTGTAATGTAACCTGACGTCGCCGATGTAATCGTTCAGCAGAACCATATTCTTTGCCACGCTCCACAAGGCGCAGTCACTTTAGAGGGCGCCTACCGTTATCGGAACTTAAAGTCTAACGTCACTTAGCACAAACTATAATCGAGCGCGATCTTCACCCGGATCACAAAGTTTAGCGTTCAACCGATAAAGCAAGATTCCTTAGCACGATATTAAAACGCAACACAAGCCACGCGTCGATGTAAAATAATGGCAATCGAAGTTACAATAGTCACTCAAAATTCAAACAAAAAGCCTCGTTGTCACGTATATTAACGAAATAAAACAACACAATGGAGGCCGTCGTAATGCGACGTAGCAATTCTTATGTAACTCGCGACCTCTAATCGACACGGCCGTTGCGTCCAATCGAGTATTCTAGACTAAAAACCCGACCCCCCAACGGCACGGCCGCAGCGTACAAAGATTCTACCAGACTGAAACTGCACGGTCGACGCCTGTTCGGCTCGACCCGTTAAACCGATTCTTCGCCCGGAATGAGCGCCTTGCAAGTTGTAGCTTGCTACGATTTTGCGTAAACACTTAGAAAAATAACCCTGTGAATAGAATTTTAGAATATTTAGATGATTATTTTAAATAGGGTGTAAGGGATTTACCCAATTCTTTTTTTTATAAAATGTAATGGCATAAAATTTATTTACAGTCCACATGTTGGCAATTGACTACTGCAGCCGAAAGACAGCTGGCTAGCGTGCGTATTGTGGCAGGTGGGCACGGCGCTGTACGTGGCGCCGGAGCTTGTGGGCGGCGCGAGCGCGGGCGCGACGTACAACCAGAAGGCGGACGTGTACTCGCTGGGAGTGATCCTGTTCGAGATGTTCCACGCGCCCTTCGCGACGGCGGCCGAGCGCGTGGCTGTGCTGATGCGCCTGCGCCGCGCCGACGTGCTGCTGCCGCCCGCCTTCGACACGCCCGCCAACGCCAAGCAGGTCTACCTGCTCAGGTATACACTCTACATAATATACACTCTAACTCAATACGAGCGCGCGACCGTGCTGATGCGCCTGCGCCGCGCCGACGTGCTGCTGCCGCCCGCCTTCGACACGCCCGCCAACGCCAAGCAGGTCTACCTGCTCAGGTATACACTCTACATAATATACACTCTAACTCAATACGAGCGCGCGACCGTGCTGATGCGCCTGCGCCGCGCCGACGTGCTGCTGCCGCGCGCCTTCGACACGCCTTCTTCTATAAAAAAGCAACTATACACAAAACAATTGCTCAGATGTTTAGGAGTCAAAAATGATTTTTGCACCTTTTAACTTTTTTTTGTCCTACTTTTAGGAATATTCATACTTTGGTTTATTAATTTCTTATGTAATTAAATAAAACATGACTAATATAACAGATAGAAACATTAACCTTTACATTTTCGTAACAAATTAACTATCCCACCGCGGAGTCTGTGAAATATTTCACCTCACTTCTAAGTGGCGCTGCCATGGTGACATAAAAAGTCCTGGCATCCAAGATATTTTCATTTTCATTGCAAGCTTAGCAAATGACTAAGTAATGACATATTGTACGGAAATAATAATATCGTCCAGACCGAATTTCGATTACGGCGGCTAGTCTTAACAAAGGTTAGCCATCTGCGGAGGGCAGGGTTATAGTGCCCAGTGTATGCGTATGGCGTAAGCACAGGTCCACCTCTATTCCCTCACTCGCATAGTCCAATGGGACGGCAAACCGACACGATCGGAGAGAGATCAGGTGCAGGACGGCTTTACTCGCTTTCCGAGGCACGGGGGTGAGACACCGCTAACTTGTTGACTCCTGGCTGCTTCTGAGAATTTCTTGATAGAAAAACTCAATAATTTAAATAATACTGATGTGACATGTCCAGCGATGGAGTATTTCATCCCCTTTGCTGACTTGCCCATTGGTGGTAAAGCTCGCCCATTGTTCAACGCAGAGTGCGGTCGTGTTGAAAAGCACTAGCATATAATGTACTTATCCTGGGTCGACGCTCGAGATTGCAAAGATCTGGATGTTAGATATAAGAGGAGAGCATTTAGCTAAACCGCCAAGTCCTGCAAAAAAGCGTTACGGAAAGCAAGTTTCGATCGAATTAAACGCATCGGTGCAAAGCTCTCTGTCAAACCATCTGGCAGTAGAGCCTTTTGCGATTTGGAATTTGAAAGCAGTTGAGACAAACGTCTGCTGGTCTATACCGCCTACGCTGGTATAACTGGATGGCTCACTGGCACATGCGGCTCTTGCATGCAATTCGCCTCTGGACAGTAGCAACAGCTACCATCTTAATTACTTGACTGTGGAACCTCAATGTCAGAAGTCAGTATCAGCAACAAGAAGGTTCTTTAAAACCTTGCGAAGTCTAGATGTGAACAAAGCTTGTGGACCTGAGTTATAGTTCTAAACCAGTTATAGGTCTAAAGGTCTGTACGCTTGAGTTGTCTCCTGTTTTGACGCGCTTGTTTGGCCTCTCATTCAGGACTGGAATAGTGCCCTAATGTTGAGAGCTAACCAATGTGTAGCTTGTGCCTAATCTTCAAAGCTAACCAATGTGTAGCTTGTGCCTAATCTTCAAAGCTAACCAATGTGTAGCTTGTGCCTAATCTTCAAAGCTAACCAATGTGTAGCTTGTGCCTAATCTTCAAAGCTAACCAATGTGTAGCTTGTGCCTAATCTTCAAAGCTAACCAATGTGTAGCTTGTGCCTAATCTTCAAAGCTAACCAATGTGTAGCTTGTGCCTAATCTTCAAAGCTAACCAATGTGTAGCTTGTGCCTAATCTTCAAAGCTAACCAATATGTAGCTTGTGCCTAATCTTCAAAGCTAACCAATGTGTAGCTTCTGCTTAATCTTCAAAGCTAACCAATGTGTAGCTTGTGCCTAATCTTCAAAGCTAACCAATGTGTAGATTGTGCCTAATCTTCAAAGCTAACCAATGTGTAGCTTGTGCCTAATCTTCAAAGCTAACCAATGTGTAGCTTGTGCCTAATCTTCAAAGCTAACCAATGTGTAGCTTGTGCCTAATCTTCAAAGCTAACCAATGTGTAGCTTGTGCCTAATCTTCAAAGCTAACCAATGTGTAGCTTGTGCCTAATCTTCAAAGCTAGCCAATGTGTAGCTTGTGCCTAATCTTCAAAGCTAACCAATGTGTAGCTTGTGCCTAATCTTCAAAGCTAACCAATATGTAGCTTGTGCCTAATCTTCAAAGCTAACCAATGTGTAGCTTCTGCTTAATCTTCAAAGCTAACCAATGTGTAGCTTGTGCCTAATCTTCAAAGCTAACCAATGTGTAGATTGTGCCTAATCTTCAAAGCTAACCAATGTGTAGCTTGTGCCTAATCTTCAAAGCTAACCAATGTGTAGCTTGTGCCTAATCTTCAAAGCTAACCAATGTGTAGCTTGTGCCTAATCTTCAAAGCTAACCAATGTGTAGCTTGTGCCTAATCTTCAAAGCTAATCAATGTGTAGCTTGTGCCTAATCTTCAAAGCTAACCAATGTGTAGCTTGTGCCTAATCTTCAAAGCTAACCAATGTGTAGCTTGTGCCTAATCTTCAAAGCTAACCAATGTGTAGCTTGTGCCTAAAAATAGCGGCCGTGCCGACCCTGCCAACTATCGGCCAATTTCAATTACGTCCATATACTGTAAGATTATGGAGCGTATATTGAATGTCCACCTCATAGCATACCTACATCAGAATGATCTCGTTAGTGACCGCCAGTACGGCTTTCGCCGAAATCGATCAACTGGGGAACTATGAGCCGTTCATTGAGTCCAGGGCCAAAGCTGCCGCACGGCAACTAGGTGTCCTTGCAAGAGTGCGGCGATACTTCACACTGGGTCATGTTCTTACCTTATATAAAGCGCAATTCCGGTCGTGCATGGAGTACTGCTGTACATTTGGGCTGGTGCTGCAAAATGTCACCTAGCAGCGTTGGGCTCAGTGGGGAGACGTGCTAGAGGCTCATTGTTAACCTTGATCTTGTCATTCTCAAGTACAGGCGCAAAGTTACATAACCTCTCAGTATTCTATAGGATGCATTCCTGTTAGTGTGCGCAGGAATTACATACATTAATTCCTTTCTCTCCTTTCCACCATCGGACAACCAGTCTGTCGGCGGGTCTTCATACCTTTATTGCCGATATTCCACGCATTTGAACCAAACGGTTTTCTCAGTCTTTTGTAATGCTTACAGCAAGGAAGTGGAATAATTTGCCGGCATCTACTCCGTCTTCTTTATCTTTTCCATTCGAATACTTCTTATTCTTCAATCTGGGCCTCTATAAAGCAAGAGCGAATAAGATGTACTTTCTTCTTACTGACTTTGTAAACTCGTTTTGCGTAGAACGACTTCGTAAGCTCGTTTTGCGTAGATCGGACCGAACAATTAATATTAAAAAACTGAAGGTAGCCGGGCTAACTATGACATTGGGACGTTAAACATCTCAGAACCTGCGACCATGGGTGTTGTAAAGCAACCGAAACGTCAGGAATCAAAAATAAGTAAAAGTAGTTAATTAAACGCGATAAAATCTGTAAATTTAGTTTTATTCAATATTTTATTTTATTTATTTAAAACTTACATGTATAACACCTTAAAGTAAATGATACATATGGCGAATGGCATGAAGCCATGTGACATTCTCTGTCAGTCAACCTTGAGTGCGAAAGAAGGCAGATGCGAAAAAAATGTCAGTAAATGTCTTCAAGTAATGTTGTCTTAGTAGTACTTTAAAAGAGTTTTTAATTGTTGCGTTCTTAATATCATTGGGAAGGGTATTTCAAAGATGTATAGCCTGTTCCTCAAAAGAGTATCTGAAAATGTTAGACCTGTGCTGTAGACGGTTTCACTGTCATGTTCGATCGTAGATCGAAAGAAGAAAATGCAAACTATTCTTAAGATAAGAAGAGGACTTTGAATCGTTAAAAATTGAATAAAGTGCGAGTAAAATTTTGAAGCATCGCCTTTCACGTAAGATAGTATTTAAGCTTTGAACGATAGGCAGATATGTGGTCATACTTACGTAAACTGAAAATGGACCTTATAGAATTATTAAGAAGACGATCTAACTTGTTAAAAAGATTTTGTGACAGATCTCGGTAACATACATCTGCATTATTGATTATAGGTAAAATGAGGGAATTAATCAGCGTAAGTTTGGTTTTGAAAGGAAGGAAATCCATATATAAGCCAAGATTTTATGGAATAACAATATGGAATCAAAGTTACATTACTTATAAATTATAGGAGGGGGATTTCCATAATGAAATTTAGTTAATAATTGCAATATTCCGAAGATTATCACATTAGTATGAGATGTTAGAGTTGTTGTTGTGAGTAGGAGTCTGGTTGGCTAGGTTGAGCTGGCAGCATTGCTGTACTAGTAGCGGGCGACCTTGCTTTTAGTCGATGCGAGTCTGACATAACCCGCTTTTTATGTATGCGTAGGAATTTCCCCATGTAAAAACGAGTTAGGAGTTGGGTTGGTGAGGTTTTATTTTATAAAATTGAAATGATAAATGAATATACAGTCTAGCAGGCGCGTGGTGGTAAAAGGTACTCGCGACGTATCCGCAGGTGGATGCTGCGGCACAGCGCGGAGGCGCGGCCGTCGAGCGAGGCGCTGGCGGCGTCGCGGCACGTGCCGCGCTGCGTGCCGTCGCGCGCGCTGCTGGCGCTGCTGACGCAGGCGCTGGCGGCGCGCGGCTCTCGCGCGCATGCACAGCTGCTGCGCGCCCTCCTGGCGCAGCGCGCGCACCCAGCCGACGACCTGCTGTACACCGCTCATGCCGACACCACCTCCCTCACGCCGCACCACCCGCCGCTGCACGCGCTCGTCTACGCCGTGGTACAGGTAACACGGGTTTTTAACACGATTTTATTAGCTTTGCGTAAAGTGCGTTGGGGTAATACCGCACGCTTTTCGACTAGGAGTCGGACAAAAACTTGTATTTTCTCGACATCCATATACGTCAGATTTCTGAAACATGGCGCAAATCGTTAATGGTTACATGTAATTTAGCTATAAGAAGCTTTTACTTTTCAAAACTCAACAGTTTCTGCTTAAAATGTGTGCGAAGACAAGGCATAATTTTTTATATGTATTATGAAGAATTGGCCATCAAGGGGAAAGACCGGACGTCGCTTAAAATCGCAAATAAAAGTGATAGGGAAAGACCGGACGGACGAAAAAAATACAAAAATTACCTTGTTTTATAAAATACTGCGCAGCACACGCCCTACTTCTCGGAGCGACTGTCTGAAACTTGGGGTCGGGGCAGAATAAAATGGAGTCTTGTACCATATTGCTAGCTTTCAAAAATATAGCATAATTCACCGGGAATTTGAATTTTACGGTCTTACCCCATCACCGATCTCTTTTAAGATTTTAGCTGCAAAGGGGACAATCATTTTTGGGCCCACTAAAAATATTAACGTCCACTAATGGTATTACATCAAAAAAAAGACACCAAATTATAATAGTAAATGGCCTACAGATTTTTCGAAAATGTAAACGGAATCAAGAAATACGAAAAAAAATTAGTTGTTTTGATATTCGTGTTCTGATTAGTATAATATGGGTAAAATGCGTGTACCTAATTAGTCATTTTGCAGCTTGTATAAAAAAGAAAACTATTTTTTCACAAAGCTGACTTAAAAAAGATACCACTAAGAACTTTATGTTTAATTTCTAAAAATTTTAGCTAATATCACGTTATAACATAGTTCTAAATGACTGTGAACCAAAACGTTATTTTATCATTGACTTCCGGTAATTCCCAGCGGCCGGCGGCCGGGTACGGCGGGGCGGGGCGGCGGGGTATTACCTACGTCTTTAATCTTAACGGCATTGACGTTCGTTACGCTACTGTTTTTTTGTATTTATATGCGATTTTAAGAAAATGGAATCTGCTAGATCAGCATACAATGAAAATAGAAGTGTATGTTGCAATTGTGGAGTCAGGTTTCAACGCAGTGTGCGAAGACAATTACTGGCCGAGACAACTGCTGATGTGCGCCAACTTTTATCTGTGTGGATTTCTCATGAGGTAGGTATAATATTATCTCATGGAAAGCTAATCACTGCACTATACAATCTATCTACTTACATATTATCTAGATTTAAACTTTTATGAGAAATATATATTATTTTTGTTACTCTCGATTTTATTCCAACAATATTACTATACTGCGGAAACGAAAATTATATATTTTCTTTATTAATGTATTACTTAATATTTTTATTTTTGTTGAATAATATGGGATATGGTACGATTTTTTTAGAAATAATACGAAAGAAAACGATCCACAGACTCCAGGCACACATAACGATCTATACATGATTAAGTACTTAATTATTTTAAGTTTTTAAAAGTAATAATAAATATCCCTTCATATTATTAATAAATTCATACCTTCTATAGCTATAATTTTAATCTTTCGTTATATTAAATTGATAAATGATATATTATATTGATTGAATTATTTTATATTTTGACACAAGATGACACTGCATTCTTTCCTGCTATTTACCAACTTACAGGCATAGTTCTTTGCATTGACTCCATTGACTGGCATTGACTGTAAAAATATAATATGGCATAAACTTGTTTGTTTAAATTGATGTAAACTGTGTTCGTGTTAAAGTAAAAGTTTAAAAATGAAAATTCACGTAGTTTTACTGCTTACAAGTGGATTAGTATGTTAATGTCTAATTGATGCAAAAAATGTTTAACCTAAGGGTTATATCATGCACGTAAGTCAAATATTAAATACCTATATCACATTTATGTATATAATTTGCCAATGACATTCGAAAATGCAAACTGACGAGTAAAAGTCCATGTGAGTAATATAAAAGTTTATTTTTTCCTCCTAGAATTTTGTAAAATCTATAACTTATACTGAATTAACCTTTAACAAATGATAAACACAGGTCTTACTAATGTGTTAAATGTTAAAGTATTGAAGTTTTATGTTATTAGTGAAATCTAATTTAAATAATAGATAAAATAAAGTCACACAATATACACAAAAGAAGTTTTTGTGGCATGGTATGATGTATCACATGTTATGTGTGTCTAATTATCTTTTGTCAGTCAATCAGAAATCAAAGTCGAAAAAGTATAGGTATATATGTGTCAATATTTATTCTAAGGATAAAATATTATGTAAATAGAAAAGTAAGTTATTTTGTGCAATGAAAAATATTTCAATCCACTGTAATATTACCGTTACAGCCAATTAAACTCCACTGCCGAACATAGGCCTCCCCCATATATTACTAATATTACACAACTCCATAATACTCTAATATTATAAAGTTTATTTATCACTATATGATATACCTGAAATACTGTAAATATTGTAAAATCATAATATATTAATCGATATTTGTCTTTTGGATTTCCAATTTTTTTTTTAATTGAAAATGTATTGTATTTCAAATAATATAGGGTTCCACATCAAACATTCACTTTCATGCCAACTTCGCTTCCCTCCTCAAAATGTACATTTATCTGAACTTAATATTTATTTACTCTTTTATTTTTAATTCCTGATTTTTTCAGTTACACCCACTTGATGCAGTTTGTTGTAACTGCCTAAGAATATTGCAAGAAAGTGTTGCATCAGCTCACTCCATTAGAAGATTTGGGTACAGGAATATTTGTATTCCATGTGGATCTTCAATGTTAAGAGCACACCGTAGACGGATTGTGCCTATTAACTCTGAAGAAAGAGATATTATTTTGCAGTGGATACCATCACACCAGGTACTTACCTTATTTTAAAAGGCTGTAAATGGTCCCCTGCCTCAAATAGGCAGCCCAGAGGATTTGCCACAATCGCTTTGGTACACAGATTGATGTTTGTAAAATCAGACACCTTGCATACAATTTGGTCTGATATTTATGCTCATTCAACATGGCAGTTCACTAACAGGTTATCTTTAAATTTACAGTCTACCAAAAGTCTACTGCTGAACATAGATTGTCTTATGGGGGGATATTTGCCATTAATAACCAATTTTTTTATTTTTAGTTATTAGATGAACGATACTTCTTCCTTATCTTACACCCATATTTGTATGCTTTTGTACTTATTATACAAGTAATATTTTTTACCTTAAAAGACATTAGTATAAATAAAACGGGTTGGGTTTACAATTCGGTCGCCTCAATTTGAAGATTCTGTTACTGTGGGGGGCGTCAAGGGAGTTTATCTGAAGCACCTACACGCGAGTTTTGCTACCGGAGCAGCATCGAAGTATTTTTATTTATTTTTTGAAAATATTGGTAAACAACTAATTAATTAAATATTCTCACGTTTTTGACGTTTTATCTGTCAATGTCATATCGATATATAGTACTAAATCGATCTAGTGAATCGATATTTCACCCTAGAGAATCAAGATCAAATCTTTTCTGTTTTGTTAAGATTTACAAAATTATTTATAATTAGTTGAAAGTACCCCAACTCGTAAAGAATGACAGTTTTTCAATTTAATCATTCAATGTTATCTGAAACTTTAAAGAACTTGGGCTTAGTGAAATATTGTTAATAATTCTAAAATAATTACTTCTTGTCTGATATGTGATGTATTATTTATTTCTATTTAAATAAGTAGTGCCACAAAAATATTATGAGGGGAAACAATTGCATGCTAATATTTATAATTTTAAAAGACATTAAAACTATTTAGTGTTAGAAAGATTGAAATAAATAGAACAATAATAAATATTATTAATATTTAGAGTAGACACTGTAAAACTATAGTTCATTTTGTTAGTTGATAAAAAATAACTTTTTTTCAGGTGGATCGTTTAGAACGAGTATGCAGTCCTTGCTGGCTGAGGGCTTCCAGAGCTGTATGGAGACAGAGACAACAAAATGAGAACAGGGATATTGAGCTACAATCCATGAATATAGAAGACATCGGTAACATCCCACAACCACCCCCTATACCTGCACCTGTAACCCCTGCCATTTCCAGAGCGGCATCAACAATTACTATGGCTAATTATAAGCGTGCTGCTTCTACTTCCCGTCACTGTATTTTTTAAGTCATGTAATCATTCATCTAGATTTTTAATACCTAAACTACTTAAAGAGAGATTGCTGATAGATCACTCATTTTATGTGCCACTGTGCGCTCGTATTTGTGAATACCATTTAAATGAACCCCACAATGATTGGAATAATTTATTCACGAGTAGTAACTGTTCAGATTTTACTGCATCTCAGATAGACAACCTTTGTTCCTTACTTAAAAGTAGTGTTACTCAAAATTATAATATTTTAAATATCATTGAACATAATTCAATATTATGCAAATATTGGTTAGGATTTACCAAATACCAATTTGAACAGTTACTAGTTGAAATTCCATCTATCAGTGAAAGAGTTAAATCACCTAAAAGAAGTCTAGCTATGTTCTTAGTGAAACTTCGTACAGGTGATAGCAATGAACGCATAGCTTCTCTATTTAATGTAGCTTCATCGACTGTGTTCAATCACTTAAATATTGTAAGTCAGTGCTTTGAAGAGCAATTCATCCAACTGCATTTAGGGACAAATACCTTATGCATTCAACAAGTTGCTCAATATAACTTGACAATACCAAATGGCTTGTTTGGTAATCCAGATATGGATCCTGAATTTATGCCAGCCATAGTAATATGTGATGGTACATACATTTATGTGCAAAAAAGTAGTAATTACTTATACCAGAAGCAAACATATAGTTTACATAAGTATCGTAACTTAGTTAAGCCATTTTTAATAGTGTGCTGTAATGGTTATATCCTTGATGTTTTTGGACCATATCCTGCAACAGAATCAGATGCTTCTATA